TGAATTCTGTTTTCAACTTGGCTTGTTTTATAGTTAATGCATTCAATACAAATTAATAACTACCTCCACTCTGACAACTGCAACAACAGCTTTTTATTATGACATTTTATTTGTGGTTAAAGTTTTGTCAGTTATACAGGGTGTATTTTTTAGTGTGCCACCTTTGGGATCTCAGTAACTAATGATTTTACAGTAAACTTTTGATGGGGAACATTCTTTTGTTTTTAAAGAGGTTCAAAAATAATTAAATAACATTTTTGTAAATTTTTGTAAGTTGGCCGCCATTTTCCAATATGGTGGTCAACTTTGAAATTTCTCACGGAACACCCTATATTTTATCATGTTTTCGGATAGAACATGCAATTTAAAAACCTTTTTATTCTTGACATTTTTTTCGATAAACCCACTCGTTTAGGAGTTACAGCCTATGGAAAAATGACTTCCGGTGTACATTTTACATCATGTAGCTCCTAAACAAGTAGGTTTATAGCGAAAATGCGAAGAGTAAATAAGTCAAATAAGACTTAAAATTGCATCCACATTCCATAAAGACCATAAAATACACAGTTTTCCACTTTTCAAGTTTGCCACCATTTTGGAAAATGGCCGCCATTTTTGAAATAATGGAGTTAATATTTTTAACGAATTTTATGATCTTGCTTTTATTTATTTTCCGTAAATGTAATAACACGTACAATGCTGATCAGGAAGTTATTTAAATTTTAATTGTTATATTACTTAGGATCGACCTTTAAGTATCAATTTCAATGTTTAAAGAAATTTTATACGCCTTAAAAGTAAGATTTTACCCAGTTTACGTGTTTCTTATATTTTATTCACTTAGATCTCTCTCTCCCTTACCCTATTTACAAATGTACGTCAAATGTTGGAGTTGTCCCAGCGTCTCCCTCTCCTACCATTTCTCCCCTCCCGGCGTTACGCGTAGTTTACCTCGGAAGTTGCCGTATCAATTCAAAAGCAACCTCACTTTACCCTCATGAAATATGCATCATTCATATTCAAATATTTGCTTTAAAAGCAGGTATATTCCAAAACGAATCTGGCGCCAAATACAAACCTCTCCTCGAGTAGCAAAATGTAACTTCTACATAGATTTGAATATTACAAATGTTGAAAGTAAACATTTTGATTTCATAAACTTTGTTCAGAACCTTGGATTTTCTGGGGTCTATGTCAAAGTGTAGCATGTTGGAAAATATTATATTACAATGTAAAAAGGTAACTTTGCTTGAAAACAAGCTAAATTGCATTACATATCCTAACCACATATCCTAATCACATATCCTAACCACATATCCTAACCACATATCCTAACGACGTCGGCTGGAAAAAAGATTAGTGTTTTGACACACATGCACAGAAAAGAAACCATACCAATGCTGAAAACGAGTTAAAAATATATGTTGTGAATAATAAGTTATTTTAAAATTTTTTGCTAGAGATAGTTTGTCTATACTCCTTTTATGTATGGTTTTACCTCACCTACACCCCAGAGTCCATTGAGGCGAAAATGAGCCAAAGATGGAGTATTGAATGAACTCATGAACTCAATGACAGCTGTTTTTCTGACTAAGATCAGCTGGTCCCAGGCTTCCAATTAGTTTTAAACTATAATAACGCATCTTATTATAATCGAAACAGAATTAGTAAAAAGGAAATCCTATTCATATTTCAAAAGTAATGCTCAAATGTCATCGTTAGATTGAAAACAAAGTCAAATGCCAGTAAAAATAATGGTAATTAAGTATTATACGGAGGCCACCCTTATACAGCGCACTGCGGTGGTTATGTTAGGCTGGGTTATCTTAAATATAAAGCATGACTCATCTGGTATCGTTCGATTCATAACGAAACGAGGAAAGTCCTACAAACATATATAAGATAACCCAACTTAACATAACCACCACAGCGTGATGTATAAGGGTGGCCTCCGTATAATACATAAGTACCAAAATAATATAACTGTGAAATCCTAAACAAGAAACAAAACAAAACATTAAATCTAGTACGTAGCTGACACAAATCACAAGATAGACAATGTGTTGGGTTTAATTAAAGCCAGTTGCGAGCCCCACACATGGTAGATGTCAAAACACATGTGTTGTGGTTGTTGGGGGGAGGGGGGGGGTCCTCCCCGACCTCTTGACCCTAGGTGGAGGAGGTGTCATGTGTGAATGCACACTTCACACCTTCCTAGCCCTCATTTCCCTCCACTTTTGGCTAATTTTAACACCTTTTCACACCTTGGCTTGACATTTTCTGTTGAATATTTGCTTTCTTGTAACTTAAATTAACTATAAATACCTAATGAGATAGTAGATTAGCCGGATATTGATAGAGTAATAACTTAATAAACATGAAGAATAAAGAAGATTGTTGAACAATTCTGGCCTAAAGGATGCTGTATGGCACCAGTTCAAGTGATGTTAGCGTAATTATTGGGTTGTTTGGAAATGTTTGTTCTAAAAAGGGGATGCACAAAAGTCGCAGAGTATATCTTTGTATGTTGTACTTCATATTGCATATACAGGGTGTTTATGCTGTTTATGACATTCGCCTATTGGGTCTGATGATGATTGGAGTGTCCAATCGAAATCGATCACCACTTACCTTCTTTTTTGTATATTTACCATCTTGTGAGTAACAGTATAAGCGTAAATATATGTTTTAAGTGTTATAAGACGTTTCTTTTATTTACTTTCCGAAAATTAAAATTTAGCTAGTCTAAGTCTAACACATTAGGTTGTCCAACGCCAATTCAAACGAGCCTTCGTCATTTTCTGTACAAATTAATGGCTTGTGAATGGTAGTATGTCAGGCAAAGCCTTCGAGATACAGCTAACAAACACCTTTAACACCTTTAGGCTGGTTTAGCCTATAACAGAGTTAACAATAAGCTAAACAATAGTTTTTGCATTGAATAAATATAGCTTTTTTCGCAACATTATTTTAAAACTCATTAATTTATAAGCACAATGTGTAAGAAATCCATCTCACCACTTTATTTGACTCTTCTAGACTGTAGGAACAGTTTCATAATATTTTTGGTCATCCAAAATTGACGGTAATTTAATCTGCCCCGTGTACACATCAATCGATTTATAGTATTTTGTTCAAAATTTTTAGTGATAGCACATTGGATTCCTGAGGTAAAATGCTACGTGTAATTTTATTTAGATTATTTTTGTGTTTTATTGAATACAAGAAGCAAGAATGCCCTAAACTATTGGTCATAGTTATTGTTATGACATAATCATCCCTATATTAGTTTTCGATAGAAAATTCATTCTATTTGAAGATCAAGAAGTTTAGTTTCCATTTCAGATGAATCAACAATGTAAGGATTCGTGTACAGAACCACGCTCGTCGCTCGTGCAGCCAGTTAAGCTGAGTCTCGACTCAGGTATACCTTCTGAAGTAGTTTTCCAAAAATCTAAGATAATATATTAAGCCTACATTTTTAGGTCTTATAAGATATTACTATGAATGGATTTTGGGTTATTTGGCTTTTTATTTAATTTGTATTACTTAAATACCCCCGCCGCAGCAACCTGCAGACTTAGCGAATTTCCATCTGCCTGATTGGATTTACATTAAAATGTCTCCTTAAAATATCACATTTTATTCCCTATTTAAATATAATTAGTTTAACGAGTACTAAGGTTTGCTGCAACAGGGGTGGGGGTAAAAAGTGTTTTTGTTGCAAAATCTTAATAGTTTAGTAAGAAATTAATGTATTTTACATATTCGAACAAAATTTGTTCATAAACAAGCAAACTACAACAGTTGACTTATTCTCCATAAGAATAACATGGGAATTTTAAATTTACAATTTTTTCTCCGCAACCATTAGGCGCATAATAACGCTTCAATATACTAAATTATTTGTTTTTTTGAGCTCTAAAAATGGTTTGGAAAGAAATTGTGAAATTTTGTGTTTTTAGGGTCAAAAATGGGAAAAACCTATTTTTACCCCATAAAACCCCCCATAAACCCATGTTTCCATAGTCCGATCATGCTGATTCGCGAACTCCTTCGAATAAATGTAGGTTTACACGTTTGTACCAAGTTTCATCAAAATCGGATCATTTTTGCTTGAGTTATCGTGCTGACGGACACATTACATACACACACATATATATACATACATATATATACACACACACATATATATACATATAAATATACATATAATATATATATGAATTTGAACGGATGGTGTTTTTGGCCTCTAGGGACCGCAAAACAAAAAAGTAAATTGGTCCCGGGTCCAGGTCTTACCATGAGTACTACGGTAATAGCTTATTCCCTATATGGGAAATTCGCTAAAATAGTGTATAGTTAATTTTCAAACTGTTCCTCTATACAAAATCTTTGCATTTTGAAAAGTAAATAGTTATTACTTATAAACTTGTTTGTGCATGCAAACAGTCCCAGAGTAAAACGTGTTTTCGGCCAAAATGCAAACATATAAATTATTATAATTTTTTCTTATACCAAAATTAAAATTAAACATCAACGAAGGTAGCTTCAAGGTCTGTTAAGGGATATTTATAACGTTTTTATCTTAGTATGTTCTTTTATATCATGATTTTTCTTACTACTGAAGTTTTATACTGCATGTGGTGATAATTTCCAATCAATAACGAAACCTGTATCTAGTTCTTATTTTTGGGTTCATATACCTATGATTTCTAAACTGAACTAATTGTTTCGTCTTTCTTCAAAGAAATGTTTACAAGTTTTTTTTTTACTTTTAGGTTATAGAGGCAGGGAAATATATTGTTCAATGGATTGTTTAATTCTATAATGATTACTGAACTTTACAGTGTGTAGTTGAAGAAATGAGTTCAAAAATAGATCGTAGAATGTTTAAATACAAACAAACCATTCTTAAAAGAAAAATCGAGATTAAAATTATGGTCTTCAAGTGGTTAATGATAATTATTCATACATGAAGGAATGTGAAAACCCATTACCTAATAATTTCCTGACTTCGTCTTGACTGATGAAGAGGTTGAATTTCGCTGTCACTTGCAGGAGACAAGCGAGAAGAAGTAGAGCGGACAAAACCATCTCGGTAACGACCACTTTTAGACATGAATTCGATCATCCAAATAAGCCAGACATCAAAGTCTAACAATGTTATACAATCAAAAGCTATTGCAATGTATTCATTTTAACATTAAATAGGTATGTCTAATGTGGCTTTTGGTTATTAATATTGAGAAACTTTAATTAACCATCGTTAAATATCACTTGAAAAAAATGTACGCGATGAATTAATCACTTTTAAGCTTCAAATGCGTAAGAAAGCTCTATTTAAATTTTCTAAACCATACGTAAAAGTGTAAACCATTGAAGGGTGACAGATTAGGGCTCCGACACCGGGCGACGGCACTCTAGCACTGAGCCGTCTCGACGCTGCGTACGCACGCACACTCTCGCACACCGGCGACGCGCGCAATCAGCTGTTGCGCTTCTGTCCCGCAAACCTACAACAGTTTGTTGAAATTGAAAACATATATCGAATTGGAAACAATTTAACTGAACGTGTTGAACATTTTTCATTTGTGCCAGAAAATCATGCACTATTAATTCGAAATGAACTACCTATACGATTAAGCCTATATTGTTGTATTTTTCGAAATAGGCCCCTACTGGGAAACATCTGATGTTAATGATCGACTTTAAGGCTGCTTAAATTCTTAACGCAGATAATTATAATGTATAAAATTATTTTTTTTCTACAGTTACCTGACAAAGTGGGCTATCTTGTACTGATAAGTGATTATAGCACGCAAAATAGCTAATTGCTGCATTTAGTTAATTTTGTCTCACTCCAAACCAAACGACAAAAAATAGTTTGCTTTTATTAGGCACGTAAAGTTGGACACACTTAAAGATACTACGACTACGATTAGCTGTTGCAGTGTTTTCCATTTAGTTCAACGCTTGGATTAAAACGTGCTGTTTAGTCTTTAAAAGACTAATTATTTCTAAGCTTTATATTAACTGTAGGAAAAATATAATGTGTACTTGTTAAATATTGAATAACTTATGATGTTCTCAAGCACTTTCGAATATTATGTTTTTGTCTGTAGATAGTCTCGGTTGACTATCAATGATCAGAATATAAACTATTGGGTATAGAAATAAAAAAATTACGAACTAAAATTATCAACATATCATTCTCATGTTTCTTATCCTGTAAATCCTTGTTAAGATGTAATAAGTAAGAAAGGAATCCAAGTCAAGAAAGGAATAAGTATAAACTATTATATGTTTTTTTTTACAAAGAAATATTGATATTCTGTACCATTATTGATTAAGCTCCATGTATTTACAAAACATAGCATCTCCCATTTACACTATATTTAAAGGGCCACCCTAAGCAGGAAACATTATCCACATTTTACCAAACTTTGAAATTACTGTATTTCAAAAGTATTATGTGACCCCTTTAAATGTTTTTGGAAAATACATACATTACGCTATCAAACACAGTACATTATTTACATATTGAAGTATAAAAAATTTATATCCTGTATGTTAACAGTGGTCTTGTAAACAGACCTAGATTTGTGCTTTGAAGGTGTGTGTTTAACCGTAACTCAATGGTAAAAAAACCTGTAGTTACATGAACTAATTTTATGAATAAAATTAAGATTTTATGTATAAATCAAAAGTGGATTTTTTTTCATTTACGTTTATTTTGTGTAGCATTTAATTCATTTAGCATTTCCATCATATTTACATTAGGAGTTTTGCGTGCCGTGTCAACAGGTGGCGTGCGAGCGTGTTGGTTGGTGCGGCATGTTACTGGGAAATAACTCACGAAGAAAACTTAATTAAAAATGGATTTCATAATTACTTCGAAGCGGATTACTCGAGGTGTTCGCTGTTTTCCATTTGCGCGCTTAGTTCTTTGAAAGCTAAACAGTTCGCATTTAAAAGTTAAATAGCGTTCGCAGGAGGTGAGGTTTTGTGTGAGAGATTTCGTTTTAATTAATTAAACAAAAGTTCAATTCTTTGGGATGCCAAAGAATTGAACTTTTGTTTAATTAATTAAAACGAAATCCCTCACACAAGGTATATAGTAAATGGATGAGCTGAAATTTGGATTGTAATGTTTAGATTTGAAGAACCACTGGCAAAACGTCTAAATAAATTTTTCCTACAGTTACCTAACAATGTACATGTTCTCTCACTGATTTGAGAAAGCAAAGTGGCCAATTCACTCATCAGTGAGACAATTTTAACATTGTCTCACTCTAATTACTTTGTCTCACTCCAGATTTGCATCGTGAAGGCACGAAATAGTGAGCGTGTAACATGCAGTCAACGTCGTATGCGCGCGAAATACGTTGGCAGCACTGGCTGTAAATCAGCTGGTCAGCTGTGTTGTACTGTTGTATTTGTCACTTCGCATTAAATTTTATGTTAAAAGTTCACTTCTGTGTAAAAATAGGTTATGTTTCTTCACCAATTTATTTGTTTTATGGTAACTGTAGGAAAAGTATAATGTGCAACTCGAGTTCAAAGTACAATTAATTGCCTCACTCGAGAAACCATTCTGAGTAAGGATTTCTCTCGAGTGAGTCAATTGCTCACTTTTCTCACTAGTTGCACAAATAACTATTAGATGAAACTCAACTCAACTTTTGTACCAAACTTCCAATTACGGAGTATATTATATAAATTTAATTTCACATTTAGTTATAAATTGACCAATATTATTTTTAGTAGGATACCTAAGCATATTAAGCCATTTACACACTAATTTTGACCATTAATAGAACCATCTAAAGTGTATTGTTTAATACGTTCATACAAAGTTTTCGACGTAGCTCTAAAACGTGAATATAAAAACTAAACTATTATAAGTGTCCCTGTCACTACGGATCGTGAATCGAGCGAATCAACGTGAACGAGAAATTCTTAGGAAAACTTTTAACACCAACCCTTAAAGTCAATTAATTTCCCCCGAAACGTGGGTAAATTTTCTCTCAACCGCGGAGAGCGCTAACAAACATGTACGTAAAACAAATATTGTCGCTGTAGCGATATAATCTCGTTTTCCGCGAATCGCTTCTCTGTGAAACATCAAAATTGCATGACCAGTAATGTAACATCAAAGGGACAGAGAGAGGACAGAACAGAGAGAGAGCATTATCATGTCCTTTGATTGGACGATGAGCGAGTGCTCCTGTTTGTATGTATAACTGGCCATCCGATATTACCTATCTCTACATATATGCTAGTGTTGCTTGCTTCCACTAGGATTTCAAAGGCATTATTTGGCTAATGAGTGGATTGAATGTAATTTAGTGATTTATATGTTAGCGTGTTATTGCGTTTGATATTCTGGAATAGATTCTAATTTGTATTAATTAAATTTGACAGGATACATCGAGTATGCGTTTGCACTGTTTTATAGCATATGAGTGCGGGTTTCACGTTTTTCTAGTGGGGCCTTTGTTTCACACAAACATAGCGTATTATTTGGGTTTTAAAATATTGGCAATTTTAAATCTTTTGTTACAACGACGATCCTACAAAATATACTTTTATGATTAAATTGCATTTAAGTGAGATGTTATCAATCCTTTATCGCTCGATGACAAGCTTTGGTCCAAAGTTGAGCCAGCAGCCTTTGGAAACAAATCGCCTACTTGTATTCACTTGAAACAATGCATAATAGAAATAAACAATTATCAAAACAGCACAAACGCCAAACATAATCCGAAATAATTACTAATCACACACCTATGAGGTCAACTAACTACACTTCACATTCTAAATCGCTATTCACACCCACCTAGGCCATAAATAAGTCACTTGTAATACCTAGATAATTGTTGTCATATACTAAGCATTTTTGTCAAACTGTCAATCTTTTCAAACCCTAAAAAATTGAGCAATTCTCTCTTAGATTCATTTCTTTAAACTACCTCAATGACATTGATCATCACGATATTTTTAAATCAATTTATAACGACTTACTATATAGGATGACGAATACATAATTTGAGATGAATATCCAAGGTGAATAACACATCCTCGTTCCTGTAAAATTTTACATACAAGCACAGTTATTTATTGAGCTATAGTTATCGAATGTATAATTCCATATACTATTTCTGTCTAATAGATCAAATGAAGATTCACTGTATACTACGTAATTTTTTATGTATGATTTCCTCTAACTGCATGCCAAACATAGAGGAGAAGTGAGGATTTCAACAGTGGTGGTCAGTGAGTTATCAGTTTAGAGGAGAAGTGAGGATTTCAACAGTGGTGGTCAGTGAGTTATCGGTTTGGAGAAGAAGTGAGGATTTCAACAGTGGTGGTCAGTGAGTTATCAGTATAGAGGAGAAGCGAGAATTTCAACAGTGGTGGTCAGTGAGTTATCAGTAAAGAGGAGAAGCGAGAATTTCAACAGTGGTGGTCAGTGAGTTATCAGTATAGAGGAGAAGTGAGAATTTCAACAGTGTTGGTCAGTGAGTTATCAGTATAGAGGAGGAGTGAGGATTTCAACAGTGTTGGTCAGTGAGTTATCAGTATAGAGGAGGAGTGAGGATTTCATCGGTGTTGGTCAGTGAGTTATCAGTTAAACGAAGAAGTGAGGATTTCAACAGTGGTGGTCAGTGAGTTATCAGTATAGAGGAGAAGCGAGAATTTCAACAGTGGTGGTCAGTGAGTTATCAGTATAGAGGAGAAGTGAGAATTTCAACAGTGTTGGTCAGTGAGTTATCAGTATAGAGGAGAAGCGAGAATTTCAACAGTGGTGGTCAGTGAGTTATCAGTATAGAGGAGAAGCGAGAATTTCAACAGTGGTGGTCAGTGAGTTATCAGTATAGAGGAGAAGTGAGAATTTCAACAGTGGTGGTCAGTAAGTTATCAGTATAGAGGAGAAGCGAGAAATTCAACAGTGGTGGTCAGTGAGTTATAAGTATAGAGGAGAAGTGAGAATTTCAACAGTGGTGGTCAGTGAGTTATCAGTTAAACGAAGAAGTAAGGATTTCAACAGTGGTGGTCAGTGAGTTATCAGTTAAACGAAGAAGTGAGAATTTCAACAGTGGTGGTCAGTGAGTTATCAGTTAAACGAAGAAGTGAGGATTTCAACAGTGGTGGTCAGTGAGTTATCAGTATA